TATATATATATATACACACATACATACATACATACATACATACACACACATGTTAAGAGAGGTATTAGAATGAAGAGTCCCCTAACCTATGAAGCCAGGAGAGTACATTGGAAAGAAAGCTGTGTGTGTTGAGCAATGCTGAGGACTGAGATCTGGCAGTAAGGGGAGGAGGGGAAGTAGCAGTGTGGGATCTCAGAGGCTCATCGGTTCATGCACAGTCCCAGATCTGCTCATGCTGGGAGCTGTCCACACTCATGGTGCTGAACAGCATGTGCTCTGTGTCTCCGCTGCCTCCCCTGACATCTCCGGCCAGGAAAGCAGCTGCTGAATAACCTGCAAGCAGTGTCAGCCCTTGGATCCGATCCATCCGCTGTAGTCAGTGTGACTGGGGAGGGCGCTACTGGTCTCATCATAACAAGCTCAGGACATGAAGAGGATGTTTGCTGGACGTCTCTAGAGCACAGCCATGGAGAGCTCCGGATAAATGGGGTCCATTGTGGAAATCAGGCAGAGAGAAGAGAAATGAGGCAAGCCTCGGCTGACATAAAACCAGCTCCCATTCTGTAAGGAACCGACCAAAGAGTTGATGCAACTGCTCACCTCCAGCCATGTGAAACTTCGCAGTATGCTGATAACCTGGAGATAAGGTGAGTTATCAGGCTGCATTGATTGATTGTAGAATTATCATATGGGACATGGCAATGCTTTAAACTTGGCTCACAGGTCCACGAACAAAAAAAGGGGTCAGTTGCCATGGTGACCATAATTAACAAAGCACTTAATAAGATGTCAATCCTAGATCTCTTCTCTGGACAGGGGAATTAGGCTTTCACTTTAATTGTGCTGGCTTTAGGAGGGTTGTTGTTCAGTCTGAAGACAAGTTTATCTTGGGATAATTCTAATTGCAGTGCAATGAGGGTGTAACAAGATCTAGATTTCTTTTTAGTTTAAAAACTATTTAATGAGCTAATGCTCTTCAATATATATTTGGGGGGAAAAGGCTATGTTACAAGGGTATGATGCATAAACAAATAGGGAAATGCTGTATATACATCATACATAACCTAGAGTTGTAGATAAATGGAAGTGTAATTTAAAAGACAGTGACCCGGATCAACAAGGCTTACACTGATGTAAACTAAACTGTAATCAGGGTACTGCCATGTAAGCCTTGGAGCTGGCGATCGGAAGCTCGTGTCTTCACAATGTATTTTACAATTAAAATCACTTTTGGTTTAAACACACACACACACACACAAGATAAGGCAGTGACACACATGAGACACTGGTGACACTCCTGGCATACAGACACTTAATTTTTACAGAAACAAAGGATACATCGCCACAGAAATAAATGATTTATTTACAGGTTTTTCTTTTTTTTTAACATCAATCATATGCAAATCAGCTGGATTTTCATTTTTTTTGTGAGCAAGAAAGGAATAGCTGGATCAAGGTCTTTAACCCTCAGCTGTCAGAGTAAAATGTTATGGTGTTTAATTTGTAGATTTGTTACAGCAATTGGCTTGCTGAGATAGTAAAGCTGGCCAGAAAAGTAACAGATTTTTCCATCCACACTAAATAATAGCAACTATTCAGCCAACAAACATGGAGAAGGGAGGAGGTAGGAAGGAGAGGGGAAGAGCAGAGATCAAGAAGTAGGGGAATGGCTTGCCTTACTGAGCCTGCATGTTTGTGGAGACACATACAGCTAACTAGCACACACAAGGACCTTAATGGGAAAGGAGCCACCCTAAAACAGGATATCAGGGCCAGTGTTCAGAGGACCAGCTGATTCTACAGGAAACTAAAACTTTTAAACATCAAGGAGCACCTCCCGTGGTACATTATTTAATCAGCATTTGAGATAAAACCTTTTGACTTTTATATCACTTTAATAAGAAAAGCCATGATTTTCTTATGTAAGCTCAGCTTCTACAACTTACAGATCTATGACCATTTTGCCATGAGGTTTTCAATGGAGGTAACTTTTGCTCATACTTAGTATGCATTATCCACATTTGTTTAATGCAAAGTCTTATACTCAAACAAAGGTATTCTATTTGGAATCTTAGTATACACAGTGGTTGGAAAGCCAAAGCAGATCCTGTTATTCACAGGCCTCCTGGGAAAAAAGGTGGATGTCCTGCACTGATTTTTGCCTGGATATACTGTAAATAGATCAGAGTAGAGCTGATTTATTCCACATCAAAATCATTTCAATAGGTTCCAGTAAGAAACAAAAGCTACACTGTTATTTTTGCTATATGATGCTGACTCAGCATTATAATCAATAGTAATGGTAGTAGGGTTGTCTTTATCCTCCTTTGTAATGCTAAGGGAATAATCAAGGCATAAAAAGAGGAACATCCAGTAAAATATAAAATATTGACATTTATTTGAAAAGAAGAATTCAACTACTCACAATGTATGCATTACAACTGATAAAAATCACATTACCTAGTTACATACAGAAACTCACTGGCTACTTTATTAGGATCCATGCTTTCATGTTGTTTACACCAAATTCTGACCCGACCATCCGAATGTCGCTGCAGAAATCGAGATTCATCAGACCAGGCAACGTTTTTCCAATCTTCTATTATACAATTTTGGTGAGCCCTTGCAAACTGTACCCTCATTTTCCTGTTCTTAGCTGATAGAAGTGGCAATCGGTGTGGTCTTCTGCTGCTGTAGCCCATCTGTTTCAAGGTTCAATGTGTTGTGTGTTCAGAGATGCTCTTCTGCATACTTCAGTTGTAACAAGTGGTTATTTGAGTTACTGTTGCATCTCTATGAACTTGAACCAGTCGGGCCATTCTTCTCTGACCCCTGGCATCAACAAGGCATTTTTACCCAAAAGAACTGCCACTCACTGGATATTTTCTCTTTTTCATACCATTCTCTGTAAACACTAGAGATGGTTGTGTGTGTAGATTAGCAGTTTCTGAAGTACTCAAACCACCCAATCTGGCACCAACAACCATTTCATGTTCAAAGTCACTTCAATCACCTTTCTTTCCCATTCTGATGCTTGGTTTGAAATTAATCAGATCGTCTTGACCATGTCTACATGCCGAACACATTGAGTTGCTGTCATGTGATTGGCTAATTAGATATTTGCATGAATGAGCAGTTGAACAGGTGTACCTAATAAAGTGGCCAGTAAGTTAATGTTTACTGTATACAGTCTTTATCATCATGATATTCATTTATTTCATCAAAATAGGGTAAGTTTATTATAATAGAAAAAGGTACCAGGAACATAAAAATATACTAATACATAATGCATGAAACATGTATAATACATGAAAATGCATGTAGATATCAAGTGTAATAAACGTAGAACAGTGATCTGCATCATAGCAAATACATGTACAAGATAATGATTTATAAAAACCAATGACTCAAAGTACAGGATTGCAAAATTCAAGACCAGCGTTTCAAGAGCTCACTGTGAGGCTCATCATGGAGCAGTAACAGGTACAACTCAGTTTCCATTCAAGAACCAGGTTACAAACAAATTAAACAACAGGGGGTCTGCTGTGCAATACCTTCGGATCAAGACTGTCATTTTAAAATGTACAATAACTATGGAGAGCCTTTTATGTACTAGACAAAATAACAGTTGTTTCCCCGTGTATTATTATTTGGCATTCTGTTTTTGTTCCCTTATATAGTTCTGACGTATTCTGTTCAAGGAGAGTACATGGAAATAGCCATGTGACAGTTACACAGACACATATTTTACAACAAAGGGAATCATGCAAACCTAGCTAACTAGTATTTAATCTGGGCTGGCCACTGAGTCCCTGTGCCACCCAAGGGTGGTGGAAAAAATTTACCATTTGCCCAGTTGGGCACTAAAACAAATTGTCCCAGCACAATAATGGATGCCACAGTAAAAACATTCTATACCCTCCCCACCTGCTAAAGTACCTTCCCTGTCAGAGGAACCCTAGGGACTGCAATTACACACCCAATGTCTAAATCTAACCCAGAAGACTTAGAAACAAAAGCAATCTAGGACTCATCATGTCACCCTACCTATCAGAAGGACATGGTAAGGATGTAATTTCAGTCTTCCCACAAGTTGAAATATGTGATAAACAGACGTTTTTCACATATTTCAACTTGTGAAAGGACTATGAAATTACCATTACCAAGTCCTTCCGGTGAGTAGGGTGACATCAGAGCTAATGTGTTCCATTTATTTTTCTGTGCGTCTGCTATAAGCAGAAGGTGCTCTAACAAAATGGTTTGTCCTTAGATACCCCTTACTCTGCACCATTTCTGTAAAAAAATGTCTAACAGTATAATGACAGAATTATTTATGTACAGTATATGTTACATAGCTACATAGTATTTGGGGTTGAATAAAGACATACGTCTATCCCATATAGGTCCACGCATCATCTCATTCTTAGGGATACTGGTATCCCTGGATATTACGGTCCCTCAAGAAATTGTCCAAACGTTTCTTGAACAAATCTACACTCTTGGCTGAAATCACTGCCGATGGCAGTGAGTTCCAGACCTTAACCGCTCTTACTGTAAAGAACCCTCTTCGCCCATTGTGCTGGAATTTTTTCTCCACCAACTTTAGGTGGTGGCCTCTAGTCTTTGTAATGGAGTTAATCTCAAACAGTTTGTTGCCAATGTTGCTGTCACCATTGAACATCTTGTACATGAAAATCATATCCCCCCTTAATCTCCTTAATTCCAGCGTAAACATGTTTAAGGTCAGAAGCCTTGTCTCATAGCTCTGGTCCTCCATTCCCCTAATTAGTTTTGTTGCCCTCCGCTGGACTCTCTCCAGTTCAAGGACATCCCTTCTCAGTACCGGCGACCAAAACTGGACCGCGTACTCCAGATGTGGCCGAACCAACGATCTATATAGAGGCACAATTATAGACTTGTCCCTGCAATACATCCCCTTCTTAATACAGGACAAGACCCTGCTAGCTTTGTTTACCACAGCTTGGCACTGCAAGCTACCATTCAGTTTGTGGTCTACAATGACCCCCAAATCATTTTCTATTTCTGACTTCCCCAGCGGCATACCCATGATTGAATAGCCTATTTGTTTATTTTTATGTCCAAAGTACATTACTTTGCATTTATCGACATTAAACCTCATCTGCCATAGTATTGAAAATATGTTGAGACTTGTAGTTAAAGCACAGCTGGAAGGCCAGAGTTGCCCACCCCTGTACTTCACCGTGGTTATACCCCACTATTCCTCTTAGTACAAGCCTATTAGTCTGTTATGACTCATTGAAAATAATAGACTCTGCATCACATTTAGTAAAAGAGGAACTTGACCCTTGTCTTAGAAATGACAACAAAGACACCTTTAGAAAAGTTTAGTAATGACAATCTGCAAACAGATACAGTATGTGTAGATAATTGCAGGTTTTTGATTCTTTATATACCTTCTTTTTAATTTCCTCCTCATTTTTCTCATGGTGGCCATTTTTAATAAGGACAGATGAGTCCATCTCCCTTTACTTCCTGGAACTCTGAGTCTGCCTTTTGGAACATGTGAAAGTGTGCATCATCCTAGGGGGGGAAATGTCTTATCTTCTCGCAAGATTTTGCAGTACTCAGATGAGATTTCCCAGGAAAGCACTGGTTATGTAGCCCT